AAAAAAAAAAAAAAAAAAAAAAAAAAAAAAAAAAAAGGAGTTTGTTTTTTTGCATTAGTTGGCAGGTATCATCTTCTGAACACTGATTCATTTCATTTCATCTGAACAACAGAGCTATGTAGCAGTTAAAAGGCCATAGCTTCTGTGCCAAAAGCTGCTTTAAACCTCTATATTAGGCTCCATAACACCCCTTTTGATTTGACTATTCCTCTACCCTTTTTCTCTCCTTCTCCATTGCTCAAATGCTCACGTCCCCACTTTATGTTCATGTCCAGATAAACAATAAACACTTCTAACCAATCACTATGATCCAAATCCGATCAAACTAACCTTTCTAGCCCACATATGTTTAGTTTAGAAGTCGTAAGAGGTTGGTACTCCATTGTTTATACGATGAGCTAGTAATTCTCCCGAAGGGTAACTATTCTTTGAAACAAAGGGCATAGGTAACTTAAGAGAACAAGCTCAAACCTGTGCAGAACGGAACCACCACCGAAGAGGAAGCTTCACTACATTGAAACTTGAAAATGTAGGTGCCTGAACATAGACATATTAATGTGAGATCATATTAATGTGAGATCTCATGAGTTGAGGAGAAGAACTGAGCATTTTTTATAAGGGTGTGAAAACCTCTCCCTAGCAAACGCGTTTTAAAATCTTGAGGGAAAGCCTGCAAAGAAAAGTCCAGAGAGTATAATATCTAGCTAGCGTTGGGCTTGGACGGTTACAATTATAAGTCTAGGGCTAAAGAAAATAACTGAAGCAAAATCCCAATATAAACAAATCACTTGAGAAATTACAAACATCATGTCGTAGGAAGGCCAAGTATTTTTACCATTCCTTTAGCTTTGCAGATAAGTTGTGTACAAAAAGCTTATGGCTCTTATCAGGGTTCGGGACTACCATTTCCATAGGAAACTAATCCCCTTTGCCCAGACAAGGAGGAGCTGGATCTAGACCGACTGGGAGAACCAGAATTTGCAGCACCACGACGTTTATCTGGAGATCTTGAACGTGACGAGCTACAATTATGATTCCTCGACTGCGATCTTTCTTTCTCAGGGGAAAAGTTTTTCTTTGGTCCAAGACGTGATTTTAGTCTTTCACTTATCTGTGTTCGCTTTTCCAAAGGACTAGGACTCCGACTCTTGCTACGGTCTTTGTAACGACCACGATAACTTCCTGGACTGTGTGAAACACTCCGGCTACTCCTTCGATATCTTGATGCATAGAAATTCCAACTCAAACATATTATAAATCTATAGAGACAAAAGGCTGTCGACTAAATCATGTGCAATTGTTTGAGCCAAGTTTCTAATGGTTTATAAATTAGAGACTTTAAGAGTACATTGGATGTTTAAAATAATACAAACTTTCTTAGGTGTAACTATTGCCTGTTTTTAAGTTTTATGGTTATATATATTCGTCATATCAATGTTTTGGGTAAGTATTTAAACAGTACATCCATAGTGAAGCACAACCCCCCCCCCCCCAAAAGCCAAGTTTTACAAGGACTACACTGCAGCAGTTCTTAGAAAACGAGACATTAGGAGCAAAAGACGAGCTCATACAGCGGTCTTATGAACTTTTCTGTGCTTGTGTGACCGTGTGTGAGAGATGGAAAGAGAAAGGAGAAAACCTTGGAGGGCTCCTGCCTCTAGGAGGGCTTCGATATCGCCTATCAGGTGACCGATCACGTTTGTCTGTGTAGCTTGAATACCTTCAAATAAAATGAAAGAACTAAATTCCAAAATCTTTTATATTATAGTTAGTATCTCAAAATAAATATTTACCCACAAAATAATAATAATAATAATAACAACAATAATAAAATTACCCAGCACGATTTCTTCCATAAATGCTTCGACCACCATAACCACGAGGACGTTCGGGTGATGGAGTACGGTAACGACGCACAAATGAATACTGCTCAGTAAAACCACGCCCCTTCCTTACACGTTTTGGAGTGCCATTTGGAGAATGACTTCTTGATGAAGTTTGACTGTGATTTGAAGCTGAAGGATCAGGAGCTTTTCTGAAAGAACCATGAACAGGACTCCGTGAAGGCATTGTCCTATTCCGCTCATCATACTTCATCCCAGAATTTCCTAATGTCTTATCAGGATTTCTGTTAAGATTGTTCCTGGGGCTGTTTCTTGGCCTTTCAGGAGTAGGGCTCCTGTCGGTCATGGATGTAAAAGTTCATGAAGCAACTGCCGGAACATAAACTCGGAACAATTTGAAAAACGGATATAGAAGGGAATGAGAATGAAGTTGAAACCTGGAGTAGTTAGAGCCATCTGAAACAGGATGTTGATTAGGAGATCTCTCAAGTCTCTCAATTTCAGTTTTGTGACTATCGTTCGGAATGTCATCATGCTTCGGGGACAGTTCACCTTCTTCCTGTAATAAATTGACGTCCTGATTTTTCTGTTTTTCCACAGCGGTCTCGGCTACAGGATTCAAGGATTCCTTCTCATCTGTAATATTCAAATCATTTAAGTGTATGGTTCAGTACCATTACCTTGGAGATGTAACATGTGGACTTGTTATGAACACTACTACCACTGGCAGATATTGTCCTCTTTGGGCTTCCCTTCAAGGTTTTTAAAACTTGTCTGCTAAGGAGAGGTTTCCACACCCTTAGAAGGGAACGAAGCATTCCTTATAAGGGTGTGGAAACCTCTCCTCAGCAAATGCGTAAAACCATGAGGCTGACGGCGATAAGAAATGAGCCAAAGCGGACAATATCTGCTAGCAGTAGGTTTGGGCTGTTACAAATCGCATTAATGCAAAAGAAGTCATATTTGAGCGGGAAGAGATACTATACCGATAATTCCTTTTGATTTAGTCTCAGAATGCTTGGAATCCTCTATTTTATGAGTAGTGGTACGATGATCAACTCGTTCACCATCAGAACTACTACTACTATCACTTATACTCATACTCCCGATGTCGGATGAACTACCAGAGCTCCTGAAGGCAAATTATTATCAATGTCCTGAAACACACTGAAAGAATATAACAGAGGAAAGCAGAAAGCTAGAACCCAACTAGACATGACACGAACCATTTAGCCTTGCGCTTTGAATGCTTTCCTACTCGACCTCTTTTCTCTCTTTTTTGGCCTTTTCTTTTCCTTCCATGCTGGGATTTTGCTGTTTTTTTGGATCTCCTCTTCCTGTACTTTCCATCACTCGAGGAACTAGAATCAGAAAGTGACGATTCTGAATCAGAAGAATAGGAATCCGATTCAGTATCAGAGCTGTATGAATCAGATGAAGAGTATCTCCTTCTCTTTTTCTTTCTGTCCTTTAAGGACCTCTTCTGTCTGCCTCTCACTTGGCCATCAGAACTAGATTCTGAAGATGTAATCTTGTTCAACCTTTTCTTTTTCTCTGAAAAAGATTAAAGAACCATGCACAGGCCGTTAGAAGAACACCTTATTTCTTGCTTTGGTTGATCCAATATAACCTACATTAGTTCGTTACCTTTTTCCTTTCTCACCACAGATGGATCCTTAATTTCTGATGGTTCACCACAGTCTACAATTTTCACAGGTTGTCTAGGCTTCCCATCAGCTGTCCCAATCTGCTCAATTTTCTTCACAACATCCATTCCCATCACAACTTTTCCAAAGACAACATGTTTCCTGTTCAAAATTGCAGAAAAGCGTCAAGCAAACATATACTTATCCACATACAATAAAGTTGAATTATTTTCATTTGATTTTTGATTTTCAAGAAGGTGAGAAGGAGCCAGACGGATGGTCGAGAAATTATTGATCTTCAAATCCTAAGGACAGTACAAGAGAATACTCATTACCCATCAAGGTGAGGTTGGGGCTTAAATGTCATGAAGAATTGAGATCCATTAGTGTTTGGACCGCTGTTTGCCATGGAAAGAACACCAGGTCCATCGTGTTTTAGTCTAAAGTTCTCATCTGCAGTTTTCCAAGTTTGTACGATCATAACATGGAACATATTTTGACAAGAGCTCGATGAACACGGGAAAATACCTGAAAATTTTCCTCCATAAACACTTTCACCACCAGTCCCTACAAGGTTGTAAAATGTTGTCCATTAGACGCCCAAACATTAAATAATGACATTTAAAAGGAAAAAAAAAATCCCTTCAAATAATTCATGAGAAGAAAGAAGGGCGTACCATTTCCCCGAGAAAAATCGCCACCCTGTAGGAGCAAAGAAAAAGAATAAACATTGGTCATGGAGAAATATTAAGGGGATAAACAAGTAGATTTAGCAAAAATCAGTGTGTCAACCTTCTGAGGTCTTAATGAACATGTTTAGAATACCTAACATTTTGAAGTAATAAACCCCCATGGTGATACCAGAAATGGCCGAAGGCATGATTTAAGGGAAAGAAAATGGTTAATTTACATTGAAAAAGGCATTGAAATCTTTTCTGGATAAAGAAAGCATGCATGCCAAGAAGCTTCGTTTTAATTTGTGGAAAACAACTCAATCCAATACAGCAAAAGAAAGATTCATTTGATTTTCTTTCACTCATATCAAACACATGCTTACATTCAGCACGTCAAAATAGTGGCCTTTACAGCAAGTCTTTGCAACTATTTAAGGAATAAGTGTAACAGCCCAAGCCTACCGCTAGTAGATATTGTCCGCTTTGGCTCGTTACATATCGCCGTCAGCCTCAATATTAAGATGCATTTTTTAGGGAGAGGTTTCCACACCCTTATAAGGAATGCTTCGTTCTCCTCTCTAACTGATGTGGGATCTCACAATCCAGCCCCCTTGGGGGCCTAGAGTCCTCTTTGGCACATCGCTCGGTGTCTGGATCTAATACCATTTGTAATAGCCCAAATCCACCGCTAGCATATATTGTCGCTTTGGCCCGTTGTGTACCATAGCCGGCCTCACGGTTTTAAAACGTGTCTGATCGGAAGAGATTTTCACACCCTTATAAGGAATAGTTTGTTCTCCTCTCTAACCGATGTGGGATCTCACAATCCAGCACCCTTGGAGGCCTAGCGTCCTCTTTGGCACACCGCCCGGTGTCTGGATTTAATACCATTTGTAACAGCCCAAACCCACCGCTAGCAGATATTGCCGCTTTGGCCCGTTATGTACCGTCGCCAGCCTCATGATTTTAAAACGAGTCCGATCGGGAGAGGTTTTCACACCCTTATAAGGAATGTTTCGTTCTCTTCTCTAACCAGTATGGGATCTCACAATAAGTGCATCGAAAGTGTTTTTCATAATTCAGTTATCAGGTATAAGAGATTTGAAAAGCATTTATTTAAGGAATAAGTGCATGAAAAGCATATATTTCTTTATGTAGTTATGTATTATGATAGAATCAAAACCATTTATTTATTTCTGAATACTCAGCATCTAATGATGAAAAGCAAAGAACAAAAGTAACATACTTGGGCCATGAACCCTTTAATAACTCTATGAAAAAATGTTCCTTTGTAGTGAAGAGGCTTCTCTGTAGTCTTCCCAATCCCCTTTTCACCTGAAAACAAAGAAATTGCAATAAATTCTTACCAAACAGTTACTTTGGCAAGCAATGTCATTGGAAAACAATATATTCGCCCAAAGTATACTGTGTTGATTAGTTATTGTATTTTTTACTATTACCGACTACTATCGGACAAGTGTAGATTACACCAAACAAGTATAATTTCAAAGGTTATTTTCCATATATCAGGCATCTAGCAATAGCAAGAAAGAATCATTAATGGATTCGAGATCAGATATAAAATGATTAGGATTTATTTAAAGATTATTCTCGACGCTTTTTGAATAATAAAATGATAAATAGCTAAACAAATGAATATTACAATATGCATCAAATTTAGATCATTCTTGATATTTCTTGGATAATCAGAAACAAGATTTTAAACTTACAAGCAATAAAACCTACCTGTACAGAGTGCCCTGAAATTTTCGGCGGTTTTAGGAACAACATTGGCAAAGAGCTGCATTGTTCAAAAGAGAACATGTTATCAGAAATCAAGCACATAAAATCTTTTTGCTTCATTTCAACAGATAAAGGGACCAAAGAAATTCACTCACTTCTATGATAATTCTTTGCACTGGTTCCCCGTCAATTGAAACATCCAAGAACACAAGAGGATTTTTCTTCTTGCTCATCACGTTTAGCTTTTCAAGGAAAGAAGAAATTAGTACATCCAAATTAATCAAATGTACAAATTTCTCAAAACTACATCTGGGCAAAATGGAATATGCAACACAGAAATCTAAAATAAAAAAATTGTAGCTCCTTTCATGATTTTAAGCAACATAAAATGAACAAGCTTATCAGATCCCACAATATCATCAACGTTAATCTTCAACGGCTGCCATCTACCAACGTCAAGACATTACATTGCATAAAAGCTTTCTAATACAACGCCAGCTCGAGTATCGTCTCAAGACAACAATCACACAAAACCCTAAACCCTAAACGAAGATCCATTTCGTCTGAAGAGATAAAGCTCCTATAAGCAAATCTTTCGAACTTTAGGAGCTCCAAAATACAAATTCTCATGGAAACAACAAAGAAAAAAAACTTCGTAGAAACAGAAATCCTGCAAGTAGCTGATGGATGAATCAAAATAGCTAGCAGTAGCTTTATGATTGAAACGAAATCACCTTAGATTAGATTGAATGTATCTGAAAATAATTGGCTTCAATGGAGCTCGAAATTAGCTTACCTCACAGATTTTTCTCGCTCCACCAAGATGAACGGCTGAGTTGCCTAAGCTTTCAACGAAGTGAGTTGGGTTTTGGCGATTGAATCCCAGTGTTGGTCCTTTTCTTTTTTTTTTTTTTTCTTTTTTTCTTTTCACTTTCAATTTTATCGTATGGTTTTATTACATTAAACTCGCGTCATTTTCGTACATTACAAATAAGAATACTATTTTTCAATCAAAACTTTTAAAAAAAAAATTCAAAAAATAAGTTATTAAATTTTGAGTTTAATGTCTAAATTTTTTATTGATTCGATTTAAATCTTTTAAAAAATTTAATACTAATGGACCCATTAGATAATAGTATTTTTTTTTAGTTTTATCATTTTAACCGTTTAAAGTATTTTTGAAATAAAATAAGATCGTCCTAAAATAATAATAATAAAAGTATTTTTATTAATTTAATTTCTAAAATATTAAGATTTTTATCATTTTAATTTCTAAACATAATTTTATTTATTTATTCGATTTTTAAATTGATGTGATCGACTTCATTAATATTGACTATCGTTCCTCTAAGTTTTTAGAACTCAAGTAGAAAAGTTGTTCATTTCGGTGTGCTGCACTGTTCCATTACTTTTTTTTTAGATGAATTATATATTTTCAACACGTCGTACTATTGCACGATGCAAAGTGGGATGATAACAATCAATACTATGACTTTCAAGATGGTCGATGTATAGGTTTTACTCGACTTTGACTTAGAACAATTAACGAGTGGATTAAGAACAAGTTTTGCCCTTAAGAGTAACTACATCATGTTTCTAGTGGTACGTATAGGAGCATGTTAAGTAAATTATTGAACATTGAGATACATTTGTCACATTGTTATATCATATGATATTTTTAATGATATATATGTCGTTGTTGACTATACTCTCACCCCTCGATGTCTCTAGAACCGACCCAAACCAAATCAAATGTTGACTTTCTTACAAGTAAAAAATCCAGATTAACACTTGGATATTTCTCATTGGTCGAGTATGGTGGTCCTTAGGGCACCGGATTTTTGCCCACGCGCTTAAAGTTCACATTGAAAACGCGCGTACAAAACGAGGGAAACAAATCGGACTCTGACAACGACGATGCATACTTTCTTCTCATCGGAAGACCTCTCCGAATCCTTCTGGTCGCCACAGCCGCCGCCGCCGCCATCTTCGTCGCCATCGTATTCTCCTTTTCTATCGCTGGATCCTTCCTTGACGATGAACCGAAGCGCCTCTGAGTGGGCGCTCGAGAGGTTTCTCGAGGAAGTTTCGGCGTTGCCTGTGAACAGTTGCCCTTCGACTACCTCCGATCGCGTGGTGGTTTCTCCAGTGGATGTGGCATCTCCTGCTTCTCAGTCGTCGACATCGAAGCGTGATGAAGGTGATGATGAGATTTTGGAGATCAAGAAGGCGGATTGTGATCACGATCGTTCTCAGCCAATTCCGTCGTTGGATCCGTCGAAAATGGCTCGGAGTAATCCTGATCAGTACCATGTGTTTTTGAAGAATCGGCTTGATATGGCTTGCGCTGCTGCGGCTCTGTCGCGGGTAACTATTTTCTCTCTTTTTTGAAACTGATTGGTGTCTGTGCTTTGGGGAGTAGGGATTTGAAATGCAGAACTCTAATTGTGTTTTGAGGTGAAATTGAGGAACTCAATCTGTTTCTTTTGAAAGAGAAGTTGTTTTTAGCCATTTTAGTGTTCGCGACTACAGGTCGCGTCTTCGGAGCCCAATGGCCCAGTCCAGCCAGCCGATCACCCTGGGCAAACATCGAACGCATTGGAATTTGGCATTCAAGCCCCGGGCCAAGGTAGCTTCCGCTCAGGCAGTCTTATGAGCTTTATTATATTCATTATTTATCGTAGTTATCTAGCTATTCCTATGGCTTTCGTTGGCCGTTTTCCATTTGGTGCCGACAGAAGTATTGAGCATTCTCTCGTATATGAGAAGATCTAGTACGTGAAGTCAAATTTGTGGAAAAAATATGGAACATTTCTTTTGTTTTCCAGTTCTCTGTTGTGGGGGGCACGTTGGTACATTGTTCTTGGCGGAGGGTGGTGTTATTTCTTCAGAAGCCGCATCTTTTGAACACCTCGACTGCGAAGTGTTGATTTTGTCTCATCAAGTTGAGTTTCCGTAATTATGAATTATGGATTGAAAAGTTGCCGGTTGTAGTGCATGGCATAATGACATGCAACCGGACTTTTCTCACTCCACTCTGGTAATATTGAATGTCTGGACTCTTTTCGGTAGCTCTACAGTTATCTTTTCTAATATTTGATGATGTTCATCTCCTAGTAAGCTAGTTTGATTATTCTATTGATCTCCTGGAATGCTAAATTTTTTTGTTATCATCCCTGTCGTCTTATTATTTGAAGTCCTTTATTTTTATCTTGTTAGGTCTTTAGGTATTATTTCGGCTCATTCATTGATACGATGAATGGTATATATAGAGGGTCCCTATCGGATATCAATTACATAAAATGCTCCAATGTTTTTTTTTCTTTTTTTGCTCCATTTTTCGACGATAATTTTTGTAAGCTGCTTTTTTATTCTTTCACTCTCTCAATGTAAGTTTGGCATCTATAAAAAGGGGGAAAAAAACATGCTTAAGATAGTAGTCAAAATATATATTTTTTTTTTGGGGAACTTATATTTTACTAGTTAGTACCCTTTTCTTGATTTATCTTGTCCCTTCCAACTCTTTTTACCATTGGAACTGTGTGCTATAACTGCAATATCACTTTTTCTAAATGGTGGCTAAGGCTCTGATCGTGGAACTTCAACAAAAGAAAGTGAGGCTACCGGTAGTCAACTTGGGATCCCATCCTTACCTGCAGTGCCTAAGAAGCTTGGGATACAAGCTGTGCAAACAACAAGTGGATCATCCAGAGACGAGTCCGATGATGATGATCTTGAAGGAGACATTGAAAACATTGAGAATATGGATCCTGGTGATGCAAGACGAGCTAGGAGGTAATATATTTCCGTTGATTGAGAATATTGACTCAAGCAACGATCATTTGATCACCCTCTGGTTATTGTTTACTTCTTATGCCTTCTATTATTCTTTTCCCCCGTTATAATTTTTAGAGAAGGTATTGTTGTTACATCTTCTTTGATGATATAAGTTCATCATGTGCTAAACTTAATTCTCATATCAAATCCCCTCCACAATCACGTTGTACCTTTGTGAAACAAAAAAGCTTGAAGTTGCACCTTCCAATAAAATATTTTGGAAAAGAGCACTTATTAGAAAAATTCTGTAATTTTTACTAATAGAGATATGTCAAGCATGTTTACTTTGCATTTAAATAAAAACTATCCTCTTTTCTTGTTGCTACTATTGAGGGGTTTTTTGTGTGATCGTTATTGGTTTTTGGGAAAGTAAGATACCTCATCTTCCATCCTGTCCTTTTACTTGTTTAGTAAGTGTTATTGTCTGGAAGAGTTTTTGTTTCTAATCAGTAAATAAATATTAGAGAAAGGAGAGAAAAAGAAGCCATATGCGAAAAATCAATCCTTCTGCCCAATTTGTTGCCCGGTCCTAGCTTTACTCACTTGACATTGATGGTGGCCTAGGATGTTGTCAAATAGAGAATCAGCAAGACGCTCCAGACGACGAAAACAAGCACACTTGAATGAACTTGAGACACAGGTACCCTTATATGTTCTCGGTTACTTTCCTTTCTTACTAAAACATTTACTAAATGTGGTTCCTTTTCTAAAGGTTGGTCAACTTAGGGTTGAACACTCTACTTTGTTAAAGCGTCTAACAGATGTAAATCAGAAGTACGATGATGCAGCTGTTGACAATAGAATTTTAAAAGCTGATATCGAGACTTTAAGAGCGAAGGTTAGTCATTGTTGTTTTTTTCTTTTTGGTTCTTTTTCTCCCTTGGGGGTAAAGGAAGGAGTGGGGGGAAGAAAGAAAAGAAGAATAACATAAAAGACCAAAACAAGGACAAAAAGGACTTTGAACATCTAATTAAAGCAGAAATTAGGCATTGCGCTCTCCCTTGCGGAATGGTTAAAGTTCTGATGCATTCCTCTTCATCTACCTTTGGCAATTCTTGATCGTGGATGATAGTACTTTCCTCCTGTTCCTTCATTCTTTTCTTCCACGTAAGAGTGCCATTTCCACATTTTTCAGGTTCACCCTGCTCCGTTATCATAGGCTCTTTTTTATTGGTTCCTAGGCAGCACTATAAACTGTTTTCATAAATGCAAGATGAACAAACTTTTTAAAAGTGCATCAAAACCGAAACTACAACGGATTAATCTAGTGGTCAGTAAGGGCCAATGTAAATAGCAAAGAGCTCAAAGGGAATAGGTTGAAATCATGATTTCTACCTATATAGTATTTAATTTCTTACGAGCTACTTTGAAAACTAAATGTAGTAGGGTATTTTAGTTATCCCATGAGAATAGCCTTGGTGCACTTAATCTGGCCTGAACATTCACAATTATTAAAAAAAAAAAGGAAAACAAAGGCATCTGAACCATATTAAAGAACAATATTGTCTATTGAATTGTTTTGTACCTTGACGAGTGAAGGTACACCGAAAAGAAACCATCTTGTGTTCGTCGATGCACCTTGATGATAGACGGTGTAAGATTTCAGAAAATTTAAATGCCCATGATTTGCACATTCTCCAGCACAATTGTTAGTGTACTTGCCTTCTCAATGTTGTGGCATTGCCACCTCAACCAGACTAGTGTGTTATAGGAGAGGTATGATTTTAATCATCAAGTGCACTTGGATGATAGAAAGTGATTGAGGAAGTCTCAATTGGTAGATTGTTGTCAATAGCTTACTTGTCTATTGACATAGGCCAAAGAGTGTGAACACGTGTTGTGTCGTTGGATAGGACACATCTAAGACACCTATCTCAGTGTCCATTTTTTTTGGTATTTTTGTTAAACCTGGGACACACCATGGACAAGTCACCTATTCTTTCGGATACATTTAATGTCACAACCGTACTAAGGAGAGAGTAGGATTGATAAACTAAGGCATAATTAAAATTTGAGACAACAATGTTGTTAAGAGTGTCAAAGACTAACTTAAAGGGGGTTGGATAAGGCTGACCATATCTTCAAAAG